TTCATGGAGTTGGTTGCAAATCCCATTCCATATGCCATTGCAGATTCCACACCTAGGAACCTGGCAACTAGCTTTTCCAGCTCCTCATGTTTGTCCAAGTTTCCTGCACATAATACAAATGACAAACTCAGAGTGAGGAGAAGCTTTCATTATTGCTATATGCTACAAGAAGAATTTCCACCAACCCGGCTGATCTTTAAACAAAGGCCCACAAGAGAACACAGGGGGGTAAGAGGGGGCAGGGAAGAAGGAAAATTTAAGCAAGCCAGCTGCTGTGCCAGGTAAACTAAAGCCAGCAAATCAATTTTTCTTCACTAAAGTAAAAGTCACTTTATTAATTAGTCTAAATTTCAAAAGCTGGAACAAGTAGTGTTTCAAAGACCTGCAATCAGATTACAGACTTGGAAACATACATTCAGGGAATATCCTATCTTGCTCCAACTTACCCATCTCCTGCCTAGTGCTGCACACCCCAGCTCCATACTGGGACAGAACTTCAGCTGCTGCTTCTTGGCAAGTCCCAGCTTTCTGTGCAAATCCAAGATAGTTGTAGGAACCCATATTAATGATGTCCTTTATCACTCTTCCCGTGTACCTGTATTTTAAGGACACCACAAGTTAGGACACTCATGATGAAAAAAAAATTTAAAAAAAAAAAAAAATCACTACACTGAAAGATTCTTATTTTAGTTTCCTAGAATATACACTGAAATGTTAAAAATCAATAGAACTAAGCATTAAATTATTTCAGTATTGCCCCTCATCAAACTGAAACAACTAGTGAAAAAGATGCTTCCCCTATCTTATGGTCTCAAACTAGTTCCCAGAAGAGCCTTCATTAAAGGTGAATTTGCTACCATGCCTAAAATTGCTTGGAGCTTCTCAAACAATTTGTTGTTTCTCTGACATCTCCCCTCCATCTCAGAAACATACAACTTTCTTTTCAATGACAAAATAAGATCTCTGTATCAATTAATTTGGCACCCCTCAAGCAGGATATCCTCTAACCACAGAAAGGAAACACATCTGGCACTGCTGTCCTAACAATATGCAACAAGGAGATTAAGGAAGAAGTTTAGTGGAAAAAAGTTTTAATTATGTTGCACTTGAAAGCCAAGTCGAGACATAACAAGTTTCACCAAGTACTGTGCTGAAAACCTGTCTACATCAAACTTGTAATATGTCATTTCCAATTTGCAAAAATCCTTGTCCTTGCATTTCTGACTTTGTTTCTACAGACTACTCCAGATCTGACTCAAAACAACTGTGTTAAATTCAGTTTCAGGCAACAATGTTTCCTTCAAGTGTCAGGACTCATCCTAAATTAATACAAAGTCACAAGTCACAGTGCAATTCAAAGGATCTACCTGGGTCATCACACACAAAAATATTAATTTTATTACACATGTATGCCCATGAAATGGGCAGTCGGGAGCCTTAGTAAGTAGCCAAAAGATTATACAAAAAAAAAAAAAAAAAATCACCTTGGTGGCCAGATGTGTTTCAAAAGAGCAAAATTCATTGATTCAAGCCACCGGAAAGTTCAAAACAAACACAATTCACTGCTCCTTTAACTTCATAGCCTGCAACTTGCTCTATAAGACCCTCTACTTCAAGCCTTTTCTTCAATTTTGACTCACGTGAACGTCCAGTTGTAGTCATGGGAAACTCTCTCCATCATGTCCACTTTGGCCCCTGGCACACTGCAGATTGGGCGGTTCCAGCTGTCCCGAATGCGCATGTAGAGGTTTCTGGTGTAGAAATTTTCGAAGTCCTGGTACAATGGGACAAAGTCCTGAAACACATTCAAATGAAAATATATATTACAGCAAACTAGGAGTAAGAAGTGTAAGTTGTTTCTGTCAGTTAGGTGTAATTTATAAACAATGGGGGGGGGGGGAAGGAAAAAAAAAGAAGAAAACTCAAGGAAAAGTTAGAGTTTTTCATCACAAGCCCTGAAACCAATTCCACCCAAAGTGTTTTAACCCTCAAAATCTGTGCCAGTGCAAAATTATTTGAAGGTGAGACAGCAGAAAACCTGAAAAGATTCATCTGCTTGTGCAAAATCCATGTTAGGTGTGATTTCCAAACTTTTTCAATGTGCAAATCTACTATGCCCCCAAAATTTCCTCAGTAGCATGTATTTATTTGTATATAACTTAAGTAGCTCATAGAATCCAGAAGCCCTCAGCTACAGCTAGAAAAAACAATCATGGCATTAGGTGATGCTTCAAGTTAGAAAGCCTCAAAGCATTCTAGCATATAGGAGAGGGAGCGCTAAAAGCGACAGAAACGAAAGTGAGAGCTCCTAATGACACAATGAGGTCTTGTTCTCTCAGCTCAAATGGGGCTTGAAATAGCTTGGCTGTCTTGGTAGGTAAGCAGAACATCTCTCTCAAACATACAATAACCCCTTCGTGAAATGCATGGGCGTATCATCTTTGCAAGAGATTTGTATTCTACCTTCAGAGTTAAGCAAAGCAAGGGAACATGCAATTGCTTTTTGTCACCAAACTGTATGCATTGCTCTACTGAATACAAACGTAATTTGAAAACTGAGGTAGCCTGCTGTATTTTATGCTGCTCATAAGAAATGCATTTAATATAGCATCACTAGCATTATTATGTAGAGATTACCATTACAACTTTCCACAATTTCTTGTTCCCAATGCAAGCTACTAAGCTACACTACGGCACCTCTCTTCTGCACAGCTTATCGGCACTTAAGTCCCACAGGATTTCTTTGAATGAGTATTTCCTGAAATCTAGCTTCCCTTACAACATTTTTCAGGAAAAGTGACTGACTGTCTTGAATGGATAACACACAAGAACGTCAAACTAACTGTGACAGCAAGGACATCTGAACATTCAAGAACTTTTTTTTTTCTGGCCTACTTAAAATGCTCCAAAGTCATGAGATTTCCTTATTACTATTCAATTAAAAGGAAGTTTGACATTCAGTTATGATAAGAATGTATAATTTATTTGCTACTGTTGGGAGGTGGGGGAAGCCTTCTACAAAAGGAAAAAGGAGAATTTATGACAAAGATAAGAGCCAGCATAGCATTTCTTCCTGTTTTTCACAAGAGAAATGCAAACATGGTGAGGGGCATTTTATTTTTGGTGACAGAATAAGCAAGATAGAATATCTGTCTGACCAAGTATTACAGTGCCTGACATTTTGTACCACTGAAGCAAAACTGAGGGCATTTATGCCAATTTTTTAATAACAACTCAATCAAATAAGCACTGACAAGCTCTTTAGTTACAATACTCAACTACAGGAAGAGTACTTTTTTCTTTACTTTCCTATTTTAATGATTTGACAACTTTGTTCTTTCAGTTTGGAGTAAAGGAACCATCTAGGTCCCTTTGCATCCTCCTGCCAGCAGCTGTACAGGAAAGATGGAGCCCAACACTGCCAACTTTTAAGCAGGCATAGTTGCACCTAAGCTTTCTTCTGATTTGCCTGTGCATAATGACATGCCAAAAAGGCACAAAGATATTAATTTTCATGATTTCAATGATGGAAAACAAACTAGATTTAGCTAGTGAATCTCCAGGGAATCACAAGTATGTCCTTACTCAGCAAGGACAGACAGTGGGAACAAGATTCCTATGAGCTAAGATGCACAGAAGGGCAATTATTTCTTCCATGTTCCTACGTAAGTATAGTTTTGCATTATTTCAAACATGCGAGGTCTTCTCTGAAGGCTCTTTGTCAAGAGATGTTAACAAGGGTAGTAGGCCAACTGTAATATGCTAGAAAATAACTGGTTTTCTGAAGTAGCTACACAGCTCTCCCCTTCCTCAACTTCAGTATCTCACGTTGATCCAGGCAGAAAGTGTATTTCAAGGCGGAATTGCTAACAAACTGTTCACTTGTACAATGGAGGAAAAAATCCTGCTACTGACAAGTGCATTCAAGAACTCCCTTCATATATGTGAAAAGTTACATAGCTACTGTACTGTATTACAAAATGGTGATATGCATGGAAGTACTTATAGCAATATCCTAAGAAGATCCCGATTCATGACACAAAATCTAAATAATTATCTGCAAGTGTCTGAAACCCTCAGCTTCATCATTTGTAAAGGGGTGGGGAAAGTCAGAAGATGAAAAAAGAAACTCTGGCACATTAGAAGATCAATACTTTAGGGACTTGTACTTACTACAGAATCAGTCAGGTTTGAAAAGACCTTTAAGATCAAGTCCAACTTATGTTGAATTACAACCTGCTGAGATCCTTTTAAGCATTTTCAACTCTTTTTAACCATCTTTGCAAGCGATTTCAGCTTTGCAGTAGTTATTCAAGCACACAAACTATGTGACCCAGGAAACAACTGAGATTTTAGCCAAGGTTCTTGGTTAGGAGTGCAGGCTGGAAATGAGTCATTGTACCAACTCAAGCAGGTACGTCTGGGCCCATACAGTCCAATCTCTCCTCAGATTACTTATCAGATAGTACATTTTCTTTTGAAACACAAGCTGACAAAGCAGGAAGAGTAACAAGCTTAACTGGTGAGATAAAGACAATCACCCACAACAGGCTGACATCACCGAGATACATAACACAAGTATGACCTTAAAAGCCAAAAGTATTCCAAGTGTAAAGTGATTTAACTGTGAAGACGAGAAATTCTCTGAATCAACTGGATTATGATAAGCAAACAAAGTGTCTTAAAAGTAAACAAGAATTCAAGAAACAAATTATGGGTAAGGGACGTAAGGTCTAATACAGGACACTAGCCTTAGGTTTTGGGAGTACCAAACTGTAAAATTATAGCAAAGGGCTCTAAGTGATGTATCAGCTCAATGCCAACTCCTCTGTTGTCCGTCCCATCCACCCCCAATAAACCACCCTAAGCTAGCTCTTAGGAGAAAATTCCTTGGAGCATGACAGGCAAGAAGTGTTCTTTTGGCATAAATCAAAACTGGATTGTCCATTTCCCCAGTAATCCTTGCCCGACCGTGGCGTTCTCATGACCCATGCATCTGAGAACACAAAGAAGAGAAGTGGTAAGGATATTATGCCTTATACACTGCTATTGACACTCAAGAGTTTGAGAGCCCTCTTACGGGACCAGATGGTGTGTCTGATTGGCTTGGGGGCTGGTTGGTTTTGGTTGGTTAGTTGTTTGTCCCCATCTTTCTACAATGTGGCATTTCAGATGGAGAGTAGAGAGGACACCATACTAAAAAGGGAGATTAAGTGATTTCAATCTCTGAACCAAGAAAAAACATTCGGAGAGGGAAGTGGGACAAAATCTTTTTCAAATTTTTGGCACATGCAGCCACAGTGCTGTGCTGCAACAGTGCCTTATTGCTGGAAGTAATCATTGTCACCTTTAAATGGCCTTCAGTGTTTATTGTTATTTTTCCATCAAGTAATCATCCTGTTTCAGATCCAACATTTCTAGCCATAACAGACTAAGAATATCAGCCTGAGATGGAACAGCTTCATTTGGAGGAAAAGCATTCTATGAGCAAGTTGATTCTTTGAGCAATCTTTGGAGTAAGCATGGTCAAACAACTGCAAAGGTTATACAGCTTCCAGAGGAAGCAAAACCAGCATGTTCTTTCATTTGAATTCGTATGAACATGGGGCTAAGAAATCGTAAACAGCTCCATTCCCATTGATTTAAGCCAGAACATATCCCCTATTAGTAAGATGATGCTTGATGAAGAAACCTAAGCACTCATGGTCTCCCAGAAGCCTGAAAGCCATAGCAATTTCAAAAAAGAGTGAAACAAGGGAAGAATAAAATTCTCCCTTGGGATGCAGCACCTTAACACAGGTGATTTGGGAATCTGGGATTTCATCATATGGTAAATTAATACTACAACAAGTGAAGGTTATAATGACAGCTTTGTAACCATTAGCTTGGGGCACGCTGACATGCAAATCAGTGATCATGCTGCTATTAGAGCCAATTTCCCACAGTGGTGCACCTAAGCTAACAAATGGTGCCATGAGCACCAGCTGAGCTTATCTGCAATTCACATAATGTGTTTCCTGGTAATACAAACCTGACTCTTAAAGAAAATCAAGTAGACAACTGCAAAACATTTCAGGCTTCTAAAAGGAAGCAGAAAGACTAGTTCTATCTCGCTGTTATATCTGCCAAAAAAAAAAAAAAAAAGGTGGAGCAATAACCATGGGTAGCCTTTATACCACGAAGAGGCCTCTGATGAGCTGTCCAGATGCTAAGACAACATTGAGCAGAAGAGTACAGTTCACTGTCCCAAGATACTCTTACAGCTGGATTCCTGTGAATGAGTGTTTGAAAACCACACGTGCTAGAAACATGTTCTAACTGGTCAAGCTATTGAGCATGAAGAGGTATGTTAGAGAATTATCAGCCCCATTTGCACAGTTGCTCCCATATACAAAATGTACACAGTAATTGAAAGGCAAATCACACTGGAATAAAGGTAAAAGTGATTTTCATCCTCCCTATAAAATCCTGCAAGCATTTTGCAGATTTAACTGCACTGTATGACCAGACATAACATTGAACTGAGAATGCCTAAATTGATTCCAGGATAATTGAGAATTGTTAACCTTGCTGCTTACCCATGCCTAGAACAGACTGATAATGCTTTAGAGAGGATGTGCTACACAACACTGTTTTCCAGGAAAAGCCTAGCTGGACATATTTTAAACAAAGCCAAAACCCATCAGATTATTTCCCTTTTCACCCTTTCGTGTTCCAACTGTGAGTGAATACTAGGTTTTCCTGGAATCATTAATTTCAACACAAAGCTCTAATAACTCCAAGGAACTTACCTACCATCAGAGACAGTCCCAGAGATTTGCTGAAAAGGCTTGAAATTAGTTTGGTCACTTTTGTTTTCTAGTTTTCACAGACTAAGATTATAGCATTAAGTGACAATTTAAGGAAGGAGTTGCTCTACTGAAGTAAACTACCCTCCAAAACACACAAAAACTGAAGGTGTTCTTTTTTGGTGTCTGTTTGTAATACTACATTTTTGATCTAAGTTTACATTATGTTTTTAACTGTGATCACCTTTAGAAGCCCATCACAGAAAATCCACATACTTCAATTTTCAGGACAAGTTAATTCAACCCTTTATGAAATCCTTCCTTGCACCATGTAAGTTTGTTTCACTCACAAAGCAGGCTGTCACACACCGTTCAGCTACACGACTACTGCCGCTGTCTTTGCTTTAAGCTTTTCACTTAAGCAATTATGAATTATTTCAAAAAGGTAAAGCTAACTATTTTGCTTGGTATTTAAGAAAATCATAATTACCTAGTTGGCTCTCTAGAATTTAAATATTAAAAAAGTACTACTTTCTACACAAAGGTCACAAATCTGCCAGAGCCTACCCCAGGGTAACTGCAGGGCTTCTCTGATCTGCTGCTTTTCTGAATCATAGGGTCTGATTTTATGTATTAATTAAAAAAAAAGGTGCAAGTTTTGAGCCTTTTCTGCATACTACTACTTGCATTCCCTTACCAAAAGATCATTGGGCTGTCAGACAGCAGTTTGAGAGATTAAAATTTGAAAATCACTTTAAATTGTTTCAAAACAAAGTCAGTGAGCACTACACCCTCCCCCCCTCCCTTGCACCAAAATAAACCTGGCTCCCACACTAGATACACTGCAATGTGCTCTCATCAACTCATTTGTAGGCAAACAAAGCGTAAAGCAGAAACACGTGAGGATAAAAGTACTGTATGTTCTAGACCTCACATGATCACTTTTTATTTGTCCAATATTGGAAACATCTTTTCCAACTTAAGCACTAAAAATGTGATTTGGCGGGCACACACCAGGCTGAAATTTCTTTTAACGCCAAAACTTTTTAAACAGGATTTCCTATTTTGCATTCTTACACAATATTCACTAGCACTTCCTACTAGCTCCATCCACAGATATCCTATGTACAAAACAAAACCAGAATACATGCATCTCTTCACTGCAAGCCATGACCAACACACAAACTCAAAGGGTTTCAAATTCAGCTGTCTAGGACATGTAGTTAAGCAACAGTTTTCAGGGTAAGATGCAATGCTAAGTTTATTTATAAAACATTTCAAGGCTAGATTTCTTTTAAAACTAGGATAATCAGTTGCTAACAAGCTTTATGTTTGTCCTGGGTTCAGCTATAGCAGTCATTTTTACTCCTTCTTAGTAGCTTGGTGCAGTGCTGTGTTTTTGACTTTCAGCCTGGGAACAATGCTGATAACACCGATGGTTTTAGTTGTTGCTCAGTAATGTTTACTCTGACCAAGGACTTTCTCAGTCTCGTGCTCTGCCAGGGAGGAGGGGAAGCCAGGAGGAAGCAGAGACAGGACACCTGACCCAAACTGGCCAAAGGGGTATTCCATACCACAGCACGTCATGCCCAGTATAGAAACTGGGGGGAGTTACCCGGAAGGCCCAGATCGCTGCTCGGGTCGGGCTGGGTATCGGTCGGTGGGTGGTGAGCGGTTGTGTCCTCTTCCCTTGTTATTCCTCTTATCATTATTATTGGTAGCAGTAGTGGTTTGTATTATACCTTAGTTACTGGAGTGCTGTTATCTCAACCCATGGGAGTTACATTCCTCCGAATCTCCTCCCCATCCCTCCGGGAGCGGGGGGAGGAAGGAAGGCGGGGGGGGCGGGGAGTAAGCGAGTGGCTGCGGGGTTCCAAGTTGCCGGCTGGGCTTAAACCACAACAATGTTTCAGCATCCTCTGTGACAATCTTTACTGAGAGCCTAACATCAATAATGTATTCCCAAATTAGACCTACTGCCCGATGTCCTCCTTTTGTACGCCCTCATGTCAGTCACTACTGCTCCCACAGAAAAGGGCTGTCGTAAGTAGTCTTGCACCTTACATACTGGTAACAGAACAAGCATTCCACAAAAAGTGCAACAGAAATCTAATGACAACAGTATAGAGTAACTGCACCAACACTTCAGTTACATCCTCAAGTGCCATGAATACAGACCAATATTTAAACCTTTCTTCTAATGTGTTAGTAGATTTCTCTGTTTGCTCTCTTCTGTATCAACTTCTAGTTTATACACAGAAAAATGCAAGGGTGCCATGTTCTCAGGTGGCGTAAACCATAGTATCTCAAGTGACATTAATGAACACAAATTTCAAGCTGAGATTTAGACAGCAATCCTTACTTGGATATTGTAACTGTTAAAAGTGATCCAAGACTTCCAGATTCCAGAATTCAGTTTTGCAAATAGTGTAAAATTAAACTCCTGTACTTTTAACCAATACAAAAAAACCTATTACTCTTTAAAGTCCTATGAGAATGCTTCTATTTTGGAATTAAGTGCCTTACAATGAATCAGCTTAATTCTACCTCATGATGTGCACTGGAAGAAGCTACTATGAAGTTATTTTAGGCACTGGTTAGTTTACTGTATCTTAGCTAATCTACCGTTAAAATGACATGCATTTTACTCCAGTGTTGCTTCCAAAAAAATGCTCCCAAGAAGCCTTCCTTTTTTTTTCCAACACTCCCACCCCCTGGCTCCTGATTATTTGTTTGCATTAGTGATATGTCCTTTCTCACCCCCCCCAGCTTTCTGCCAGACAACTGCTTGCGTGGCTGCACAGAGAAACAGAAACCAGCAACTGGAAAACAACCTCCTTTAACATTTTAGAATCCAGACTGGCTCCCCAAAACAGTCAAGGAAAACAGAATCCTGATCAGCAAGAGTAAGCCACTTCACCTTTGGAGCAAAGCTCACTGGTATTCACACTGTGCTAAGAGAGGTCACGTTAAGAGTTCACAGGAAACAGCTTGCAAACTGCAAGTTTAAACAGCAGCTTTCTTAACAGTAATTAACTGCTGTGGGGAATAAAGGCCTTTAAAACTATTTTACAACCACTCAAAATTAGTATTATCTATTCCAGATTAACTGTTGAAGCAAGACTTTTCACCTGCTGACAGAAGCTTTTGTGAATAGGTCTTTTTATGAATGAATTCTTTTTAATTGCTATCAGTGAGTCAGGAGTCAGTATCTCAGATTACTCACCAGCTAACCTGCTAGTGTTCTGGACTCCAGATGAATTTAAAGCCATCCAGCTTGTGCTCTGGTTCGCATCCACAAGCTTTTCTTTGCAACTGCTTAGGCTGCAGAGAATTAATAGCATGCTTCCAAATCAAAACACAGCCACCAGAAGAGCATCAGAAAGCCTCCTGCTGCTGTCAAACTCAAACCAGATCCTTTGATAAGCTTTTCTTTAGCTGCTGGTGCTGGCATATGTAGTCTCTTTTCCCCAAACCCTTGTTTCTGCAGCTGGGGCATCTCTCAGCATGTTGATATAACTGTTGATGTAGCTTTGCAGTGAACCAGATGAGGGAACTGCTCTGCCAAAAAATAATCCAACTAAAAGAAACATTATTTTGTTTAATGACAGCAGTACTAGCATAGTATTTGGGGCTTTCAGAAGACAAGGAAAACAGCAGAAAACTTTGAACAACACTGCTCCCCAAAGAAATACTCAAGGTATACCCTCAGCCACATCATTTCCAAGTGGTTACCTTTTGTTCTTCTCTTTCTGTTGCATTTTGACACTTCTCAATCTTCCACTGTCGCATGAAATCTCGCAGATATCCAAAGAGAGTGAGAACACCATAGCCTACGTAGGTCAACACAGCAACCAGCATTGGTGTTTCTTCAAAAGCTTCATTGAAAGGCCTTTTGTATAATCCTCCATTGTGCACAATATGATTTACCTACAGTAAAAATTTAAAGAGACGCTGTTGTGAGATACCCATTTGGGAAATGACAGATAAGCATTCAGAGTAGTCCCTGGCCTTCTAATCAGCTACAAGTATTCCAAGTACTCTCAGCTAGGGTTAGCCATGACTGATAAACACTGTCAGTCTCCATAGGCAGCTAAGTTGTTGATATAACCAAAGTCACAGTTACCAACTTAGTGCCATTTAACATCTCATTAAAGTTCTTTAGCTTGCAAAGGTACATAGACAGCATTGCTTATATCCAAGCCAACCAAAATAAAAAAACCTGCCTTCCCCTTCACCAAGAACTAGGTAGGCACAACTAACAGAACAGTGAGGGTTCCCAGGCTCACTACAGGGGAAAAACAAAATAGAAATGAATAGTGTTATTAATCTAAACAATGCATTTTCAGGATTATGAGAACTGAAAAAGTAACTGGAGAATATCAAAATAAGCTCAACTTTGTAAGCCCGTATTACTCTAACAAAACAAGCATAAACTGTGTGTCTCCATAACTGTAGCCTAAAGATAGTGATGTAAACGTTGTATTTGCCCATGAAGAGGACATGACACCAGACAAAAAAGTCATTGTGTAAAGTCTCAACATTGCATATATGTCAGCACACAGAACAAAGCAAAGCTTTCTGCATAAAATCCAGACTAAAAGTCATCTTGCAACTTGCATATCATCTTTTACTATGCAAAAAGAAAAGTTTGATTAGTTGTATAATACATGTGCATGGCCATCTCAAGTACAGTTACTGTAATACGTAATATTTGTGACTACTACAGAAAAACTTCACAGCTACAAGGCAAAGGCTCACTCAACATAACACTGGGGGAAAAAACATCATTATTTTGTCTAAAAGAATTAAGTTAAAGATCAATGTATCAAAACACAGAAACCCAGTCATTATGTGCAGATTGTTATCTGTATTCCTAAAAGTTACAGAATAGCTACCCTGTAATAGAATAGCTACATGTGAAAGAACACTCTCTTAGATATAAATCCCTATCTGTAGCACTAAATAAATATAGATCTAAGAAATGTATTTTAAAAAATACACTAATCAAAGAAACACCAACACATAGGAAAGAGGTTTAATCCTAAATACATCAAAAAAGGACAACAGCACATAATTAATGAGGAGTGAGGGCCAGCAGACAGAACAAACCCCGTTGTTCACCTATGGCACTCATACTATGACGCGGGAAAGGAAGCCAGCATTGTACTAACCTCTATCAACTGATGAATCAGTAAAGGCACACATACTTTCTGGCCTCACCAAACACTCTGTTATCTGGAAAGTGCCACCTGCTCATCTCAGATGCTGGAGCAAGTCTGTATTTCAAGCCTGGCATTAATACCTTGAAAGTAATATTTCAGAAGCAACGGTCTGCTTTTAGGATACAAATATGCTATAGCTATGTAGTCACTGCACCAGCACATTCCTCTCCTGATACTCATTTCTACCTTTTCCCTTTGCCAATACAGACATTCAGACCAAGTTTTAAACAGAGCAAATCCTCAATTTGGTCACTGGGGACTTCAGAATTGCTTCAAGTGTGGAAACTAAACAGCAAAGACACAGTAGGATCTTCGATTTTACTGGCAGCAGCACTTAGCCCAGATGCAGATAACTAACTTGCAGCACGTTGAGACCAGTGTTTATGCTGAAGTAGTTTTTAAAACACACAGTGTACAGTGGTGGCTTAAGTTAAAAAAACTACCATGCTTTGGAACAGGCGTAGAAACGCTTGCTTACCACACTGTAGCTCAGGTGATGACAATCTAAAGCTTTAACACAGGCTACAGGTTCATACGCTGTTTTCTTCAGGAATACTGCCAGCCAAAGGAACTGCCCCCTGCCCTATTCCCACTCTGAGCCATCACCCTCTGGCCTGCACAACTAAGGCTAACTAGATTTTCTGCGCAGCGTCCCTCCAATGCTGAACTGATCTAGGTTGGAAACATAATGGTTTGCAGAAGGTTATTTATTAGACCCCAATAGTCTTTACAGCACTGTTCCACAAACTTGCTCATAGATCTCAGCAAACAAGAACCAGCAGCTGTTGGGTAGAGAGGAGTGGCAGCAGCAACATGACAATCAACAGACTCAATGAGCCAACGCTGCAGAGGAAAAACCATGAAAGCTTTCTCTCTTTATTACTCTCAAAATTGCTTAACTGTATCACTATGTCTCCAATTCATGAAACCATAGAATTTTATTATATCCAGATCTGAGAAAGATCATGCACCAAAACTCCAATTACTACAATTTCACAGCTTGATGAATTAAAAGTTAAATTTGGTGTCCTCACACTCAGACCAGGCTGTGAATAGCAGCTATGCAGGAGCAGGCACACAACAGACCTGCTACCTATGCTGTCTACTAGTAGCTGATTAGTAGCAATAGAAAACTGCTAGTGACTACTTAACAAATTACCTCACATCTAATAGAGATGACATCAAAGGTTTTAATGTCTTTCCCATGTAACTGGCAGTTCATCTGGAAGAGATGAAAGGCTGCATCCTGAGGATATATCTGAGGCTACCTAAAACCCAAAAACAGCTACTGGGGAAAAACAAACAAACATCCACACCAAAACCCAACTAAACCCCAATGTATAAACAATTTTAATCAGAAGTATATAAATTTTTTCCAGGTCTTTAGAATTGCCTCTGCCTGTGACAAATGCTAAAACTAAACAAGTTATTCCACATGGTCAAAACCATTTCACTGAGAATGGCCCTTTTGGGAATACTTATATTGATTCAACACATACTCTAATTAATTTGATCTCGCAGTATCATTCTATCAAGGCATTTATACATCCTTGTACTCTCATGTCAGCTACCATGACAAAAGCTGAGAAACTCCTATGCTATCCTATCTGAATTAAACATTAAAGAAATACTCTGAATGCAATTCCATAGACTTTTCATGAAGGATACAATGATTACAAATACTCTAGAATTGATTATAGCAGTCACATTTTATATACAAGCCAGTTTGTTTTTCCAAGAATGCCTCATGAATCTGCACATTAGCCTTCAAATGAAGGCTTACATGCTGTGAGCTCCAAGGCTGCTGCCAAGAAGCAGCAAGTTCAGTTCAGTTCCAGAGATCAAGAAAGAAGATGGCTACAGCATAGTAATCCATTTCCTTTTCTGGACTGGTGAGGAAGAAGCATGCAAGATTAAAACTTTTATGGTTTCAACAATCCTTACGATAAAGTGAGCCATGACCTTTGGAGCAGAACATACTCCGTATCTAAATGGAGACTATAAAGAAAAGTCAACAGTTCACCTAAGCATGTGGTTCAAAAAAACAAGCGTAAGCTCACCTACATCTCTCTCTCCTGTACTGCCCTGACCACAGGCACACAGAAGAACATCATTACATTAATAAAGTCAACTGCAGGAGAAAAATCAGACGGCACCAGTCAGCTGGTTAGAGAAGGCAGCAAAGAGATGGCATTCTGCATCAGCCACAAGTAATGCCTGTGCTGGGCCAACCTCTTGGGGAAAAAAGTCACATTAAACAATACTGTAAGAGTTACTGAGCAGCAGCACCATGCAGCTACAGGTCGAAAAGACTGCATTGGTCTAAGCACAACACATCAGGGTGTCTGATTATATTCATCTCTCTAATTGGTAACAAACAGTTCCTATTCAGAAGACATTACATTATAAAACTGGCTTCAGACTTAGTTCACCCTGCAAATCAGAAGCATTTTAAATAGCATGCCAGCATGTCTAGAACTGGCAGAGGATGGGATTGTGGATGGCCTACACCTGGGTCAGGGCAACCCCAGGCACAGCTACAGGCTGGGTGGAGAAGAGATTCAAAGCAGCCCTGCAGAGAAGGACTTGGAGGTGTTGGTTGATGAGAAGCTTGACATGAGCCAGCTTCAGTGTGCGCTTGCAGCCCAGAAAGCCAACCGTATCCTGGGCTGCATCAAAAGAAGCGTGACCAGCAGGTCAAAGGAGGTGATCCTGCCCCTCTACTCTGCTCTTGTGAGACCTCACTTGGAGTATGGTGTCCAGTTCTGGTGTCCTCAACATAAGAAGGACATGGAGCTGCTGGAGCAAGTCCAGAGGAGGGCCACGAGGATGATAAGAGGGTTGGAGCACCTCTCATATGAAGACAGGCTGAGAAAGTTGGGGCTGTTCAGTCTGGAGAAAAGAAGGCTGTGTGGAGACCTCATAGCAGCCTTCCAGTATCTGAAGGGGGCCTACAAGGATGCTGGGGAGGGGCTCTTCATTAGGGACTCTAGTGGTAGGACAAGGAGTAATGGGTTCAAACTCAAACAGGGGAAGTTTAGATTAGATATAAGGAAGAAGTTCTTTACAGTGAGGGTGATGAGGCACTGGAATAGGTTGCCCAAGGAAGTTGTGAATGCTCCATCCCTGGAGGTGTTCAAGGCCAGGCTGGACAGAGCCTTGGGTGACATGGTTTAGTGCGAGGTGTCCCAGCTCATGGCAGGGGGGTTGGAACTAGATGATCTTAAGGTCCTTTCCAATCCAAACCATTCTGTGATTCTATGTACGCACATGTGGCACAAGCACACCCAACCTGATGCTCTTGCTCAATCACTGCACAAAGTTATGCTTTCAAGGCCACGTTAGCCTCCAGATAGCATCAGATCTTGCAGTGTTTGGAGGTCTGGTGCTATCAGAACAAGACTTCGGTTCCACAGGCAGAAAAGATATTTCTGTCTATCCCAAGTTATTCAAATTCTTTAATGACATATACAGAAAATATCTCACATAATACCCTTTTTGCAATTACCTTAGCATAGTTAAAGGTCATCTGACATTATGGACAGAATAGTGTAATCCAAACAAAAGTACTTCTCATTTAAGCCACCCCACTGAGCATAAATTCACACTAGAATATATCCAATTGCATGCTATATTGATTATAACCTCCACTAGCCTACTAGATTTGAAGATAACTCCTTTATCAGAGCATGAAAGAAT